GTATAATAGAAGATCCAGGTGGAAACCTCCAACAGGCAGTTGTGTTTCCAGGTAACTGAGAGCAGGAGTGAGGTCAGGGTTGAAGATAAGAATTTGTGAGTTGTCAGCCTGGAGGATGTAATTGAAGTCATGGAGTGGAGGAGATCACCTACAGAGAAAGTATGGAGTGAGAATAAATGGTCCACACAGTAGTCATCATGGTTAAAACACACTTGACCAGATGCCAGTATCAGAAGGCATATTAAAGGAACAGGAATGAGTAATATTATCATATAGATCTTTTCTATTCAAAACTTTTTCAAATCTACTCATTTGAAGCGTATACCATTTAGTCCACGTGAGTGCAGTATCAGAAGGCATATTAAAGGAACAGGAATGAGTAATATTATCATATAGATCTTTTCTAGTCAAAACTTTTTCAAATCTACTCATTTGAAGCGTATACCATTTAGTCCACGTGAGTTCATGCAAACTCTAATCTGTAGCCAATGGAAATGCAGAACTTAAAGGGGAAAGGACCCCAAAGCAAACACAGAAGCCCACCCTGGGTGTGGTCCTGGGTGGGGCAGTAGCACTGGAAGGATTTGGGGTGGAGAATGGTGGACAGAGGAGCCAGTGGGATGCAAGAGATATTTTGATGTATTGAGAACAAATCTGACATAAATAGTTGTGTCTTTCTGATACTTTTTCTTTTGTCAAGGATGGAGAGGGTTAAGATACTGACCTGAAAAGGTTTGTTTTACAACGTTCGGCTAGCTGTGTGTTGACGTCTTTGTACCTCAAGCTATCTCTACACATCTCCTCCTCATACCCCCATCTCTCTGTCATTCCACTGACAGACACATGTTAAGCACCTTCTCTGTGTTGACCTCATGTTAGATGCTAGAGACACAAAGAGGGATGGCATTTAGTTCCGGCCCTTGAGAAACAGAACACTCATGGTCGTATGCTAATTATCAAAATGTTCTGCACTGGCATGGTTCTTTATATGTATCTGAGCACGCTCATCTACGTTGTATTGTTCTGCTACAACACGTCTAGGAAGGAGGTAGGACAATGATTATTATGAGGCATCGGGTGGCTGAGACACAGAGGTGGATTGACTTGGGGAAGGTCAGTCAGTGGCCGATGTCCAGATCTTTGGGCCAAATGTTCTTTCTGCTAAGGGGCATGTTTTTTCCCAGCACTCTCATCCTGGGCACCGTGCCTTTGCAATTTCCTGGTTGTCTATTTTATCTCGTTCAGCTGACAAATTTGACAGGCCCTTGGGGAATACTGACTCAAGAATAACTTGCCTTTGGTCAAGTGCTAAATCCCACAGGTGTAGGATGAACTTCGGAGGAGCCATTGTCACTCTCACTGCCCCCTCTCAAACTCTACTGTTTGACTGGAGGGAAGTCTGCTTATCAGTTCTGTATGTACCAGGGAGCACTAGCAAAACAAAATTAGCTCAAACTGGCTGCCATTCAGGTCAGCTAATTAAATTAGCTATTGTTGCATTACTGATAAGGACAGTTTGGAAAAGGAAAAAAGCCACTCATCCCAGCAGCCATGAGGCTAAAGCCAAGAAAATGTGTTAATGGGAACACTCTGAAAGAAACCCCTCTGTCTAGCAGCAGTAGCTAGGGGTCTTTGGTGAACGCCTCCCCTAGCCATCTGCTCCAAGCTTGGTACTCCCAGCCCTCCCTGGCTCTGGTCCTCATAAGCACTGCTGCTCTCTGGCTTTCCAGTACCCAGCTGCAGCCAGAGCAACCCTCCTCTTCTCCTCCTACCAGAAGCCTAATCCTCCTGGGAGTGTGGAGAAAAATGGGGATTTTGGGGGGAGAGAACAGCTCACCTTGTGTGCTAAAATGTAACCTTCTCAGAGTATAAAAGCCAGTTGATATTTGGAAAAACCCTAGAGAAAAAGCTGGGGTGGAGGGAGAGATAAGAAAGGATGGAGAAGATAAGAGAAGGGAAGGGAAAAAAAAGAGAGAAAAGAGGGGGGAAAAGAAGGAAAAAAGGAAGAAATGAAGGAAAGGCCCGCCCAATAAATCTACAATTTTTTGGTTACCCAGCATCTGCTCCTTTACTTGGTAACAGCCTCTTCTCTATTGTGTGCAGTCTTGTGAGGCTGTAAATTAAGTGGGCTGCTATCTTCTAGCTGAGATGTGGGCACATGGGCTTACCCTAGGCCAACTAGCCTCTGTCCTAGAACTCTGGGACGTGAGCGGAGAGACGGACAAAGAATATCAGGAGCTGGTTCACTTTAGTAGCAACTCACCCCAGTGAGATCTGCCACCACACTATATCCTTTCTACTATCAGCCCCCACCCCTCACCCCTGCCCACCAAACTGTCCTGGTTTCATCCTTTTTTCAAGACTAACTATCCAGGCTTCCTAAAATTCTATCAGCTTCCTGACAGGTTTCAGGTTCACTCTCTTCCGCTTAAATTAACCAGAGTCAGTTGCATGCGAATCCAAATGATTTCATGATGCTTCAGTCCAACCCCCTTCCTTGACAACCAGGCAGAGGACCCAGAGATATAAGGCAACTTTCTCAAAATCACACAGATGATCATTGGCAGATCCAGGGCTAGAGCCCAGGCCTCTCACTGTATCAGACTGTGCTGCCTGAACACGGCACTCAGGGTGCATCTTCTGAGGGGATGCACCTGCGAGTCCCTGGGAGCGCATGTGAAATTGTCACCAGTGTCCCTCATTGTCACGGCCCCCTTTTCTCCTGATTTCATAGATTCTGTTTCAGACTTTGAAGTCATGAGATAATATTCTCCCATAAGAAAATAAATGAAATGTAAACCTATTACTAAAATTGTCCATGTGTAAGTTCATGCACGTACGGTGTCTGTCTCTCACTATCAAATGTGAAAGCGCTCTAGCTCAAGTTTATTCTTAAGCCCTCAATACCAATGGCTAGACTATTACAATCAAGGATACCAGTAACACTGAGAAGAGAAACAGGTGTACTTATTTTACAAGGCAGCCTGCTATTATAATTGGAAAAACATGATTTCATAGATTCTGTTTCAGACTTTGAAGTCATGAGATAATATTCTCCCATAAGAAAATAAGTGAAATGTAAACCTATTACTAAAATTGTCCATGTGTAAGTTCATGCACGTACGGTATCTGTCTCTCACTATCAAATGTGAAAGCGCTCTAGCTCAAGTTTATTCTTAAGCCCTCAATACCAATGGCTAGAATATTACAATCAAGGATACCAGTAAAACTGAGAAGAGAAACAGGTGTACTTATTTTACAAGGCAGCCTGCTATTATAATTGGAAAAACATGATGTATGCTGTGCTATGTTACATACTGTAAATTTGGAAGAACATTTTTAAGCCTCACTTTCTTCTTCTGCAGACAAGTTAGCTGTCTTCTCTCCCTCAGTCTCTAGCATTCTAAGCTAAATGGGGAGTGATAAAAGCTAGTGAACTAAATGAGAAATTACACAGGTTAGTGCATTATGCAAATTTACTGAAATAATTGATTTCAAAAAATCTTCTGAGCCCTTAAGATAAAAATAAAAGGAAAAAAACCTTGCTAGAGAAGCTGTGACCAGAGACCATAGCCAAAAATAAAAGGAAAAAAAAAATCAAGCTCCACTTCAGTGTTCATTAAGAGAAGTAGTAGAGAAGTTGGGGCCATCAGTCTTCAGGTGCAGTGTTTTAATTCCAGAGACCCCATTCGACATACCAGTATGTCACCAATAAGATGTTACTAGTGCTTTCAACCCAGGAGAAATCTGTCTTCCAACAGTGTCAATTCAATCAATTGTCATATTGGGAATTTGATGTAAAGAGGTAGCCTAGCCCTAGGCAAATGGGTACTTCCTGAGCACACAGTAAAGTGAATATAATTACTGTTTTACAAAATAATATAAAATCATTGCAACATATGTGAAAATAGGGAAAATATATTTATAACTCTATCACCCTAACTTTCTTAAATTCCTTTATGTTCATAATTTTCTTCTAATATTTGCCCAATGTATGTATCTAATTAATATTTTGGAAATTTATTGATAGATTAGTTTATTTTAAAAAAGCTTGTCGGGCCAAACTTAGTCAATATTTGAGTTCAGAAGTTAGAATTACTGGTTCTTTTCCCATATTTACTATACATTCTCTTTCTCTCCTCTTGATCCCCAGCCACAAAATGGGGAAAGTAACGCCCTCCACTTTTTTAGTGACTAGGACTAAAGTGTCATGTCTCTGAATTTTTCTCAGCTATTCAGCGATAAGTTCAAGTTAATCTTAGATGCATTATTAACTTTTGAAAAACCATTTTTTCTCTCACAACATTTTTTGTATTAAAGCTTGGTTCTATGTATGATTCACTAAAAAAAGGAGACAGTTGTATAATGCTCCCTCTTCACCTTCATTGACCTATGATAGGGTCAGGAGAGATTGTTCTGCATCAGTGTTTTTTAGATGGAGGCAGAAAAACAAGGTGCAGAGGAAAACCATTGGAATCCAATTAAGAGCATGTGGATTCAAGTCCTTGGTTTGCATCTTACCAGCTGTTCAACCTTGAGCTAGTTATTTAAAATCATTAGGATCAATTGCTTCATCTGTAAAACATAGATAATGATAACTATTTTATAGAGTTGTTATGAAGATTAAACAAGCTAATGTAGGAGAAAGTGCTACAAAAATGAATGTCTTTTGTTCTTAAAAGGAAATTATAAATGGGTTACTCTATCAAACTATTCCTAATATTTATCATAAAGAGTTTTTTTTCCGCATTATATGAATGAAGAAGTAACTTCAATTTTTGGTGTCTGATGAGCCATTTCCTGAATCATCTAGGTTCAGGCCTTTTTCTTCACCTATTTTCAGCTTGTTAGCTGCTCATTGAGATCTTGCCAGAGGGTGGGCAAAAGAAATAAAAACTGAAGTCGGTCAATTTGACTCTTCGATAGCAGTCCTGATGAAAGATTTGTGGATAGAGGGTGTTAAAGTTGTGAGTTAAACTGGAATTTTGCCTTCTTACCAGGAAATTGCAAGAACCTACTGATTGTTTGAATGTTCTGGTGATGACAGCTACTCCTCTTCCCTTGACTGAAGAAATATCTTCCTCTACCTGAAAAGTGGCCTCTCTTCCTCAATGACACGTATTGACTTCTGAAGAAATAAGAGGATACCTGCTGGCCAATCATATCAGCCAAAACAACTCTGGTGAGCAGTGGGCTGGCAGATGTTGTAACTAGACGACTGTGCATTGACAGAGCCCCAAAGCAATAATCACTTTCTCTTCCCCACTATTCCAGCAATCAAATAATCACTTTTCAGCATTCACTACACACCACCATATAATATAAACTGTGGTGAGTAGCTAGATATATGACAACCTCTGAACTCAAAAAATCATAATAAATTAAGAAAGCAAGAGTTGTGCATGTAAACAGACAACTAACTACATAGGGGAGAAGACGGTGAACACATTTAGAGCATCTCCCATGTACCAATTACTGTGTGAGGTGCAGAACTTGTATTATTTCATTGAATCTCCACCATATCCCTGAGAGGCATTCCTATTCTTGTTCTACGGATGATGAGACTGGGAGTCAGAGATGTTTAATAACTTGCCCAAGAGCACATAGCTACAAAAGTGTGGAGCCTATTTCAAGTGCAGATGTGTCTAACTCCATACATAGTCTATGCTCTGTTACTAACCCACACCTGCCCATGAGAGAAACTAGAGCTCAGAGACATAGTTTAGTGCAGTTGGATCAAGACAAGACTCTTTAAAATACCTATCAGCAAAACACATTGATAAAGTTTTACCAGTTCCATTAATTGGTCTGGGAAACATTTCCAGCCAGAGGATAAATGTCTGGATTCTGGAGGCACGGATGTGGAGTGGGACTGATGGCACCCTAGTGGCAGCTCAGCCTTTCTACACATGTGTTCATCTGACCAAGTTACTTCCCTTTTCTAGGCTTTTGTGTCATCACCTATAAAATGGAGCATTTCCAGACTATCTAACGTTATTTACACCCCATCAGTGGGTAGGTATGTGGTATATTAGCTTTAATGTCAAGCAGAACTGCATTTGAATCCTGGCTCCTTCCTCAAGCAATGGGCCATTGGGCAAGTCATTTAAGCATCTATAAAATGGAGATAATAATACCTACCTCAGGGTCTTTGCCCTTATTATTCATTCTCCTTGGGACAGTCTTCCCCAGTTATCCACAGAGCTCACTCCTTTACCTCTGTCAGGTCTTCATTCAATTTACCTTTTAGTGAGACCTTCCTTCACCATAATATCTAAACTTGCAAACCATCTGGTGTTTTCTATCTTTTTTCCTCATTTTATTATTTTCTTTAATTAACACTCAATACCTAACATACTATATATAGCACTCAATTATTTATTGCCTGTTTCCCACCTCTAGAATGTAAGCTCTGTAAGAGCAGGGGTTTTTGTATTCTTTACTGCTGTATTCCTAATTTTTAGAATGATTTAGGTGCTTAATAAACATTTCTTGCACAAATGAATGGTTTTGTGAAGATAAGTGAGTGAAGTGTATTGCCCAGGACCCGGCATGTAGCAAACACTTCATACGTTTATCTGTTTGTTATTATTATTATTTTATTATAATTTTGCCTCACCTCAATGGGGCACAGGCATTCCATTTCCCCTCCAGATAATCTGGGATTAGCATTCTGACCTCCTGAGTGAATGTGAAGGCCTGACTGCTGAGATTAGTCTAGAAACAAGAGGAATTAGTCATCCTGAGTGAAGTAAGGAAGAGGCTTTGCATGGTAGCTACTTTCAAATAGCTAAAGGTGTGTCACATGGGCAGAAATTACAGTAAGCATATTCTGCTGCATAAGAAAGAATTTCCCCAGAATTGGATGTCTAATGATGGAATAAGCTATCTCTGGATAGAGTGGGCTGCTCATACCTAGAGGTCTCTTAGAAGGTGGAGAACTACATCTCACTGACGCGGATTACAACTATTGCAATGTGTGAGAAGGTTGGAGTGCAGCCAAGGGACCACATTCTTAGAGAACTGTGGGGATGGTTAGTAAAGCATGGCATCTCTAGGGCTAAGATAAATGGACAGCCAATAAAATTATTGTTTACAATCAAAGAAACCAAGGATAATGATCAAAAGGCTGGGTACGGCTACCCAATTAAAAAGATATGCTACCTGCTTCCAGACTTGAATCAGTTTTCAAATCCAGAACTCACTGATAGAAGGAAAGCCTGGGTCCCCAGCGGGAAACACCATTCAAATACTGCAGAATGCATATATGGTAGTGATTCTCCCATTATTTCCCCAAAAGGTCATTAGCTGTTTACTCAGGTCATCATGTATTGGGGTAGAAGACCACCCAAGTATTTTGAGGACTGTTAAAAGCAGGTCCCATGTTGACATAAGAACTACCCAAGTAGAGGTAGAGGACTACCCAAATACATGGGACCTCTTGTTGTTAGAGTGGAGATTCTAGTACATCCACTAGATGTGATTGCTCACAGTGTACCTGCAAGGTCCATGGACCCACACTTGGTAATTTCCTTAGTCCCTGAATGAAAAAGTTAAGTGAGTATACTTGGTAGTTGATAGATACCTTATAGGGTTCCTTGGTCAGTAAGGTAGAAGCTATTGTAATGAGAAAGACCAAGTGCAGTCTTCTGAAACTTCTCTTTCTCCAACCCTCACATACCTACCCAAATAGTAAATCAAAGCAATATTGCATCCTAGAATAAAAGGAAGAGATTAATGCAATGCTTAAAGACCTAAAGGATGTAGAGATGGTGTTCCCTATCATATCCCCATTTAATTCACCATTTTGGCTCCTGCAAAAACACTAGAGGAGGCCAGTGTATTGCTGTAAACTCATTCAAATAATAGCCCCAATTGCAGATGCTGTGTCAGGTGTGGTATCTTTGCTAGAGCAGATTAACACAATGTCAGGTATATGGTATGCAGCCTTTAGTATAGCAAATATGTTATTTTCCATCCCTATCAAGATGAAGAAGAAGCAGTCTGCAGTCACATGGGGTGAACAACAAAGAATATTTGTGATCTTTTCCCAGGGCTATTAATTCTTCTACCCTCTATTATCATAGAGTCTGAAGGGATCCAGACTGTCTGGTCATTCCAAAGAATGTACAAAGAATGTTACATTCATTGTAACTCAACTATATTGTTGAGTTACATTAAGAACTAGCAAGAAGTAGCAACTATGCTGTAGGCCTTGAGTAACATGCATGTGCTTCACAGAATAGGAAATAAAGCCTATGACTATTCAGGGCCTGTCATATCAGTGTATGTTTTAGAAATTCAGTGATGTGGGGCATGTTGGGACTGCCCTTCTGAAGATAATGGCAAGTTAGTTCAACTCATACCTCCCGCCACTGAGAAGGAATCACAATATCTGATGGTCCCCTTTAGGTTCTGAAAATAGCAGATCCCACACTTAGGATACTGCTCTAACCATTTACCAAGTAATGTGGAAAGTTTCTAGCTTTGAGTGGGACCTGGAGTAGGAAAGGGCTCTATAGAAATTGGGGTTGCAGTGTAAGTAGCCCTTCTATTTGCACAATGTGACCTAGTAGTCCCTGAGATGTTATAGGTATCTGTGCTGGGAAAAGATGCTCTGTGGAGCTACAGCAAACCACAATGAGAGTATCACAGAATTAAACCCATAAAATTTTGGAGCAAGATCACACCCTCTATATCAGAGAATTACACACAATTTGAAAAAGAGCTCAGGTGTAGTACTGGGACCTAGGAGATACAGAGCACCCGGTAATGGGATGTCAAATGGCCATATGGCCTGACGGCCTATCCTAAGTTGGGTTCAATCAGACCCACCAAATTTTATCAGCTATCCATCATTAGAGGGAAGTGTTACATACAGGACTAGATACAAATAGGCCCAGAGGACCCAGTAAGCTGCATGATCAGGTGGCCCAGACTCCCATGTCATACCCCAGTGTCACCATTGTGCTTCTCCCTCAACTCACACATTTGGCTGCTTGAGGGATCCCTTATGATGAGATGACTGAAGAGGAAAAGTCAGCTGAGCATGTGGGTGCAAGCCCTAAATGGACAGCAGCTAGACTACACCCACTCCCAGTGAACGCTCTGAAATGCAGTGGTGAAGGGAAATCCTTCCAACTGGAAGAGCTTTGGGTAATTCACTGACCATCTATATTGTGTGGAAAAAGAAATGGATTCAGGTAAAGATATAGAGAGATTCACAGCAATGGCAAATGTCTTGGCTAGAGGTTAAAAGCTGGGAAGATTTAAAGATTAGAGACAAGGAGATCTTGGGAGGACATATGTTGATGGATTTATGAAAGTGAAGAATGAAGATAAAGAATGAAGATCTTTACAACACTCAATTAACACTCACCAGACAGTAGCCACCACAAAGGGGCACTAAACAATCAAATAGACAGGTTGACTCAGTAAGTGGACAGCAGCCTGTTTTTCTCATCAGCCAGTGCAGTACTGGCACAGAGGGCACATAAATGGAATAGCTCGGTGGCAGGGATCTGGCCCAATAGTACGAGCTTCCACTCACCAAGGCAGATCTTGTTATTGCCATTGACAAATATCTAGCTAGCAACATAGACCAAGCTGAATCCTGTCCCCTATGACAATATGACACTATCCCTCAAGGAGACAAACCAACCACGAGTCAACAGATATTCCACATTTGGGTTTGCCTTTCCTGCCTTCAAGGACTTAGTTAGTACCACACTTTGGGGACTTCTAATGTATGCAATCCACTGATAAAGGATTCTACAGAATATCATTGGACGAAGGAATCCACTTTATAGAAAAGTAGAGGCAGCAGTGAGCAAATGACCATGGGGTCCACTTTTCCTATTACATTCAACACCATCCAGATACTGCTAGCTTGACAGAGTAATAGAACAAACTTTTGAAGGCAGTACCATCCTAGAAATGATATCTTGCAGTTATAGGGTGCCATTCTTCAGGACAAATCAATGACCATTATATGGTGCTATGTCCCTGATAAGCACAGTACATGAATCTGAGACCAAGGGGTAGTAGCAGTCAAATTGCCACTTCCATTACTCCCAATGATCCAGTTAGGGGATTTTTGCATCCTGTCTCCATAATGCTAGTCTCTGTGGGTCTGGAATCATAGCTCTCAGAGAAGGAATGTTCCCTTCAGGAGACATAGCAAGCCCCACTGAACTATCAGCTATGGCCACAGCCTGAGCACTTTGGGCTTCTTCTGACAGAGACTGACGAGCAAGGAATAGAGAAGCATAGTTGACCCAGGTTAGAAGGTAGTGCTGCTGTTAAAAATTGGGGCGGGGCAGATATATTTGGCATCCAGGTGATTCTATTCACCATGTCCTTCTTGAACACAGTTGTGGCACTTGTCCATTTACTCTCAGAAGTTGGCAGGAGATTACCAAGAAATGCCCCAGTGAATCACATGCATTTTGTGGTAGGAGGGATGGCAAGAGCCACTGCACATGGGGGAGCAGTACCAGAGCACACTTTGATTGGTATGTAAGATTGTACACATAGAGAGTCTAGTTAAATGACACTGTTTACCAGGGTTCTTTAGGACCTTTTCACAGGTGGGTGCTTGTGATGGTTAATTTTAAGTGTCAACTTGACTGGATCACAGGGTACCCAGATATTTGGTTAAACATTATTTCTGGGTGTGTCTGTGAGGGTGTTTCCAGAGTGATTAACATTTGAATTAGTACACTGAGTAAAGCTGATTGCCCTTCCCAACGTGGGGGGTCTCATCCCATCTATTGGAGGCCTGAAGTAAGTAAATGGCTAAGTAAGGGAGAATTTATTCTCTCTGCCTAACTACTTGAGCTGAGACATCGGTTTTCTCCTGCCCTCAGACTAGGACTCATACCATCAACACTCCCGGTTCTTAGGGTTCAGACTTGGACTGTAACTTACACAGTAAGCTAGGCAAGACAGGTGCCACCAATGTACCTGCATCCAGCCAATGCTCCATTGCTCCATGCACTGAGCCTGGAGTGCTTTTAAATCATTCCTGGTCCTCCTGGTTCTAAGGCCGTTGGATACAGGCTGGAACTACACTTTCAACTTTCCCAGTCTCCAACTTGAAGACAGCAGATCATGGGACTTCTCCACCTCCATGATTGTGTGAGCCAATTCCTTATAGTAAATAAATGTCTATCTATATATCCTATAGGCAATGTGTAATGGATCAGCCTCAGTTCAACAGATGTGCAATACACATTTATTTTCTGACTTTAGGGCTTATGGAAAATCTGCACAAAGCCACTTCTATCTTTTTTTGCTTCCCTACATCCACCCCCAGGAAGTGGAGTTTGCTGCTGCAATCCAGCCTGGCAGGTCCTGGCAGATCCATCCCTGCTCTGGCAGAAGATTCTCACTGAAGTGCTGCCTGTCCCAGGATGCTCTCCTTGTTGGCTGTTCCTTTCCCTTTTTACATGACCTGTCACAACAGTAGGTGTCCCCACTGGCAGCAAGGTGATCAAGCA